GCAAGCTTCCCCAGTAGTCCAGGTCTGAGATTTAGTCTGGGGTGGCAGTGGCTAGGGCTGGAGAGAAGAATTGGGTCTTGACAAATGAAATGATCTCTTGCCAACTCTTTGACTCGTCTGGGTGACTCATCTGTTGGAGGCTCTTCCTCACCCTGAGTCTACCCAGGGCCCATATGGGTTGAACTGTCCTTGGAGGAAGTTCCTAGGATGTGAGAATTCATCGCTGCAAGAACTGGGGGGTCCTGGGAGGCGGAACCCATCGTCCTAGCTAGCATCTCTGTGCCTGTGCCTATCTGTGTGTTCCATCCCCAGTCAGTGGAAGCCCGACGGGAAGGCTGGTCCCCAAGCCTGGCCCCCTAAGGAACGGGCGGCCCTTCAAGAGGAGCTTAGTGATGTCCTCATCTACCTGGTAGCATTAGCAGCCCGCTGCCGTGTGGATCTTCCCCAAGCAGTGCTCTCCAAGATGGACACCAACCGGAGACGCTACCCAGCACATCTGTCCCGCGGCTCTTCTCGCAAGTATACAGACCTGCCCCGTGGGGCCACCTCTGAAGACCAGACTGTGGGGACTGCAGACCTTGCCTGTGAGTCCACAGGTCAGGCCTCAACCTAGAAACATGGAATCAAGATCTGCAGCTCAGCATGGCATGTGAGGAAGACAATGGCCTGCCCAGGGAACCTCATTCTAGTCCTTTCCTAACAGATCACAGACCTAGGGACACGTCCTGAGGTCTGAGGTTTAAGAACCTCTGGAAGACAGCCTCTTGGTAACTCTTCTCCCTCAATAAAAGTTTTGTTTAACCGCCTCCAGATTCTTCCTGCAGTGGCTGGGGAGGCTCCGTCTCAGCAGGTGCTGAAGAGGGGCACCAGGGTTGCCTCTGGGCCCAACTCCCGTGTTTCTCTACTGTAGCTCCCACCTGCAGGGAAGAGATCTGACTTCAAGCAGGTTGCCTGTGAGATTCCAGCCAGTCTCCTTCCCCTTCGGGGCCTCTAACAGATAGGAGGCTGTGCGTAGCTTTAAGAGCCTAGGTTTTTGAGCCAGGCCATCAGGGATCAAATGCCATCTTTCATACTTAGCTGATGGTATTCATTGATTTCCTCATCTAAATGGAAATAAAGTGCCTGCCTGATAGGGTTTTAAAACTTAGGTGAGCCCAGCTGGCGTGGCTCAGTGGTTGAGCGTTGGCTTATGCACCTGGAGGTTACAGTTCAATTCCTAGCCAGGGCAGATGCCCGGGTTGCGGGCTCGATCCCCAGTAGGGGGCATGCAGGAGGCAGTTGATCAATGATTCTCTCTCATTGATGTTTCTATCTCTTTGAAATCAATAAAAATGTAAAAACAAACTTAGGTGAGTTATTACTGTCAGTAGAGTGCTTAGGACAGTGCCTGGCACATAGGACTTTGTAAGTTCCCAGTTATTAACTTTCAACTCACAACTTTCAGATGTCCAGAGCAGGAAATGTCAACAGTTGAGTTGGGCCTGGGTCCAGGGCTGAGCCTCAGGCCCAGCACAAACTGGGATCAGATCTCTGATGTGGAGCAGGACAGGGCTTCCACTCCTCTTGGAGTTGGGCCTCTCGCCCCTGCACTGCCATCTCCAGGCCAATTTCTCATTCCACTTCTATCCCTAAAAATAGTGTTAGGTGTCTGATTTACCTGTTGTGTGACCTCGGGCACATCACTTTCTTTTCTGAGATGCCCATGGCCTGGGTGATGCTGGAAAAAAGACCTTCAAAGTACTTTTGCTGCCCTTGTCAACCTGTTTCCACATCAGTAAAATGAGGGTTCCCCTTTACTGGCCTCATTCCTCTCGGTGACCTTATCCCTCTTACTTCCCAGGTAAAACCCCAGATTGGAACTGCTTCAGCTTTGTGTTCCCCAGCCCACCCTGCTCCCTACCAATAGCAGTAGGAGCCTTCTCCTTACTGGTTTGCTTTCAGTACCTCTCCTTGATCAATTATCTCCTCTCTGTATAATCAACTTCTCTTCCTTTCCATTACCCCTCACCAGAAGCACAAAAATTGAGTCTCTTCCCTATAGACAAAACCAACAAACTCCCCAGCTACTGCCCTCATACTTTTCACAGCCACGCCTCTTGAGAAGGGTTATTACACCCACCCATCTGCTGCCTCATCCTCCCATTTATATCCTAACCCACTATCCACTGAAATGGCTCACCACTTCCCCAAACTCCTACGACCAGTGGGCACCAGAGCAAAATCTGACCACTTCCTCTGAAACACTTTTCTCTAGATTTCCCAAACAAGGTATTTCTGAGTTTGTCTATCTCTGGCTGTTCCTCCCAGGTACTTCTTGGGTACCCTTTTCTGGGAGAAGGGTCATGCACTTCAGACCCGATATTGCAAGGTGTTCTTTTCAATCACCTCTCTGACCCCTCCACGTTGACCTCACATTCCACATGTCCAGATTCGGGGTAACAATTGCCACTTCAACTGTTCTTATCCTGTACCATCTGTGACTCTACCTGTGGTCATCCAAGCTAGGAAGTGAAGTCAGCCCCACCTCCCTTATCCCCAGAATTCTAGCTCCTTAATATGTCCACTCCACCCCTTCCCTTATCACTCAAGGCTTCTTTGCTGCCTTGGATACTGTCACCTGGCTTCTACAATCCGCAGTGGTCTATCTCCTGCCAACCTCGTTGCTCTTTGTCCCTATCTTCAAGCTCTAACAAGTCTGGCAGGCACTTTCAGGGACTCTCCCTAGTTCCCAAACTCTCTCTCTTCTAGCCTTCAAGGCCAGCTTAAACATACCTCCAAGGACAACCTCTCTAAACTCACCAGATTGCGTTAAAAACCTAACCAACAACTCCCCCCATCGTAGCAAATGACAATGGACTGCAAATGCCTGTATACTTGTCCCAGTTCTGCCATTCCCTCACTGTCAGAACTTACTTATCTGCAGAAATGAAGATATGATTACCAAACTTGGATGCTGAGGATGAAAATGAGCTGACAATAATAAAGCACTTAAGTCTTAAACAAAGTACTGTTTAGCAGGCCTGGCTCAGTGGTTGAGTGGCAAACAATGAACCAGATCATGGGCTTGATTCCCAGTCAGGGCACATGCCCGGGTTCCAGGCTCAATCCCCAGTATGGGTATGCAGGAAACAGCCAATCAATGATTCTTATCGTTGATGTTTCTCTATTTCCTTTTCCTCTCTGAAATCAGTAAAAATAAATATATATTTTAAAAGTATTGTCTCTTCATTATACTACGCTCCATGATGTTCATGGCTGCTCACCAAAGCTCTGCGGAATTTGGTGCCTGTTTAAGCACGAATCTATCTATATATATAAAAGCCTAAGCAACCATTGCAACTGAATGGACGACAGAATAGGCTGTGTGGGGCAACCAGGCCAGCAGGGGGGTTAGTGAGGGATGACCAAAGGACTGAGTAGCAGGCTATGTGGGGCGACCAGGCCGGCAGGGGGGGTCAGTGAGGGGCATGCTTCATGGGGTGAACAGGCCGGCAGGGGGGTTAGTGAGGGGAGACCAAATGACCAAACAGCAGGCTGCATGGGGTGACCAGGCCCGCGGGGGGGCAGTTGGGGGCAACCAAGACGGCAGAGGGGGGCAGTGAGGGTTGACCAGGCTGGTGGGGGGGCAATTGGGGGTGACCAGGCCAGCATGGGGGGCAGTAAGGGGTGGCCAGGCCAGCAGGGGGGGCTGTTTAGGGTGATCAGGCAGGCAGGCAGGTGAGCAGTTAAGAGCCAGTGGTCCCGGATTGGAGAGGGTGCAGGCTGGGCTGAGGGGACCCCCGCCCCAGGCACGAATTTTGTGCCCCAGGCCTCTAGTCTAATCATAGGGTAATATGCAAATTGGTTGGGATGCTGTCACAGTAACAACCGATCAGCGGGCTAAGTATACAGCAGGCATGGGTGGGCAGGGCATTGCAGCAACAGGGGTGGGGACCTGCACCGTATGGGATGCAATGGCTGCTGCTACTTGCCCAGGGCCGGCCCAGGGCTCTGGCAAGCTGCCGATAGCCACTGCTGTTGCGAGGGCCCAAGGCTCAGGCAAGCCTCATGGCAGGCAGTGGCAGCAGCAGTGGTGTAATGGGGTCGTCACCTTCCCCTGATCACAGGGTTGCCTCCCACAGAGGGAGGCCAGAGGCAGTAGCAGCAGCAGCAGCAGCGAGAGAGTGATGGGGGTGGTGCCTTCCCCTGATCGACTGGTCGCCTCCTGTAGAGGGAGGCCCGACTGCGGCTTGAGCCATCAATAGGACATCCCCTGAGGGCTCCCAGAGTGTGATAAGGGGCAGGCCAGGCTGAGGGAACTTCCCCCACCCCCCAGTGCACGAATTTTGTGCACCGGGCCTCTAGTGTGCTATTATTTACAGACCCTTCCAGATCAGAGGTTATAAGGACATAACCAAGGGCCAAGTGTGGGATGACTTCACACACACAAACCCAGTTCCAGGAACCCTTTTGGGCTAATAGCCCCACTTGGTTCTGTGATGATTCACTTAAGTCACCGAAGCCCAGTAAATACTCCAGCTTTGCTCCTTTCCCCATCTATTCATTCACAGGCACATGTGCGTGAAGATATAATACTTTATTCACTAACACGGGTTGAGGATTTGTAGTGAGGGGGAAGAGGCCACGGTTTCCAAAAATCCCAGTAGAGCAGTGATGGCGAACCTTTCGAGCTCAGCCTGTCAGCATTTTGAAAAACCCTAACTTAACTCTGGTGCCGTGTCCCATATAGAAATTTTTTGATCTTTCCAACCATAGTAAAACAAAGACTTATACAGTGGGGCCTTGACTTACGAGTTTAATTCGTTCCGTGACGGAGCTTATAACTCAAATTACTCCTATGTCAAATCACTGTGACGTTCACTGCGCCAACTAGCAGTGGGGTATCTGAAGCTGGCTCGTAACCCAAAATTTTTTGAGCTTGCAACTCAAAGCAAAAAATCGGCCAAGAGACAGCTGGTATCTCAAAAAAACTCGTTAGTCGGGACACTCATAAGTCAAGGCCCCACTGTATTTTTGATATTTATTTTATATATTTAAAAGCCATTTAACAAAGAAAAATCAACCAAAAAAATGAGTTCGCGTGTCACCTCTGACACGCGTGTCATAGGTTTGCCATCACTGCAGTAGAGGATTAACTACATCTCCAAGGTCCCGGGCAGCCAGTTCTGCCTTCCCACCCTTTACCAGACCAGGGTCCCGGAGTCCTTGTCCAGTTAGTCCAGCACCTGGGGTCGGGCCCTGGCATGCGCCTCCTCAGCCAGACACTAGCAGCCGCAGCGACAAGGGGGCTCATCTACTCTCACACTCTGGGCAGCGCTCGGTGACAGTGGTGGCCTTAGTGCCAGGGGGCAGCTTGAAGTCTCGGCCGCACACAGCGCAGATATAGAGACGGCGCATCATATGCGAACGACGGTGGCGGACGAAGTTTGAGCTGAGGCGGAAGCGCTGGCCGCACTCGGTGCAGGGGTAGGGCCGCTCGCCTGTGTGCGTGCGGGTATGATCTGCCAGGTTGGACCGGTGGCGGAAACAGCGGCCGCACACGGTACAGAGGTGCGGCTTCTCGCCCGTGTGCACGCGCCGGTGCTTGGCCAGCGCCGAGCTCTGCGCGAAGCGCGTGCCGCAGTCGGCGCAAACATACGGCCGCTCCCCGGTGTGCGTGCGTCGGTGGCGCACAAGGCACGAGCTGCCGCCGAAGGCGCGCCCGCAGTCGGGGCAAGTGTAAGGCTTCTCGCCCGTGTGCACGCGCAGGTGCTGCGCGTAGTTGGAGCTCTGAGCGAAGCGGCGCCCGCACTGCGTGCACACGTAGGGCTTCTCGCCCGTATGGCGCCGCCGGTGTTGCTGCAGGTTGGAGGCGGCCGAAAAGCGCTGGCCGCACTCGGGGCACTCGTAGGGCCGCTCGCCGGTGTGCGTGCGGCCGTGTTTGGTCAGCGCCGACTTCTGCGAGAAGCCCCGGCCGCACTCGGGGCATTCGAAGGGCCGTTCACCCGTGTGCGTGCGCGAATGCTTGGCCAGCGTGGACCGGCGCGCAAAAGCACGGCCGCAGTCCGGGCACACGTGTGTACGCGCCGGGTCTGCAGAAGGCGCTGCCGCCTCCCTCGGGACCTGTGGGGAGAAAGGGGACAAGTCAGTCCTGAACCACAGTCCCGTGAGCAAGAGACCTGGTCTCTGCATGCTGCAATCTCAGTTCCGCTTATGGAAAACAGGAAAGCACTGCTGCGCACATTAAATTAGAGACTGCACTAATGTACACAGCATATGCCTAGTGTCATTCTACCTGTTCTTTAATAATTCAACAAGTATTTATTAAGGGCGTGCAAGGTGCCAGACTGTGTTCCAGGCACTGGGGATTCAGTATTATATTTTTAAATTCCTGCTTATGGGAAAAATGGACAAGTGCTGGTATTGGGTGAATGTTTCAGATTTAAATAAGGTTAAAAAACTGATGTAACAAGAGCAAAAAGTAAAGGAAGTGAGAAAGCAGGCTACAGAGGGCACAGCAAGACCCTGAGGCAGGGGTTTTGCCAGTGAAGACCCAGGAATGGCAAGAAAAAGTACATAGGGCCGAATGCATGGAGGGGAGAGTAATGGATGGGGTGCCCTGCAGGGGATCTCTTAGCTTAGAGCCTTGTAATATGAAAGACATGGAAGGTGATGTCAGAGGAATGATGGCGTAAGGCTGTGTCTTTTCCTCTCCTCCTGAAATTTCAAAAAGTTAACCATGTATAATTCAACAAAGAAACCCCTGCTCAACACAGACGCATGCCTGGGAGACCTGCGCACTGAAACATCTAAAGGGGGGCAACCGGGAATAAACGGGGAGACAAGAGCAGGAAGCGTAGATGGCCCCAGGTGCAGCCCTGTAGCCAGGAGCTCACAGCAAGTGGCAAGCAGTGAGAGTGAACATGTCTGAGTCAGCAGATGCCTGACAGAGCACAGGATTCTGCCGTGTGCATGTGGCTCGGAGACAGGCAGTGGTGTTTCAAAGAAATATACCACAGAGCCCTGCCACTGCTTGGACTCCCAAAACTTGCCTCCTGTTGCCCTTGAAGTCAAGTTCAGGAGCGTATTATCTGTAAACCAAAAGCTACTGCAGTAGAATACGTGTCCCTCTGTGACTGATCCCCAGGAGGGGTGCTGGGACGGGACCCACGGAAGTGAGACACAAACCCTACCCTAAGCAGCACAGTTATACAGTCTTAGGGAAGCCACGGAGGTTCAAGACTGGGAGTTCAAAAAAAAAAAAAAGACTGGGAGTTCAGAGGTAAAAATCTTGTGATTCAGCACCATTTACTGGAAAATAGTAGAAAGACCTCTTCAGAGATAAATGCATAAGCAAAGGAAGACAGCAAATACCATGAAGAACCACAGTGATGAGGATGACCAGAAAGAAAATGAAAAATCCCCAGAAAGCAAGCTGGAACACATGGAAATATGTGATATAAATGACAGAGATTTCACCCTAGCTGGTGTGGCTCAGTGGATAGAGTGTTGGCCCACAGACTGAAGGGTCCTGGGTTCAATTTCAGTTAAGGGCACACACCTCAGTTGCATGCTCGATCCCCAGCCCCAGTCGGGTGTATATGGAAGGCAACCAATCGATGTGTCTCTCACATCGATGTTTCCCTCTTTCTGTCTCTCCCTCTTCCTTCTACTCTCTCTAAACATCAATGGAAAAATTTTAAATTTTTTTAAAATAACAAATGACAGATTTCAAGATTGCAGTCCTGAAAATACTCAATGAGATGCAAGAAAATACTAACAGGCAATTCAGTGCACTTAGAAAACAAATCAATGAACAAAACGAGTACTTTACCAAGGGGATTAAAAAAAGAACCAATAAGAACTCCTGGAAGCGAAGTATGCAATTAAGGAGATTAAGAGTAAACTACTGAGCATAGAAAACAGAAGAAATGAGATAGAGGAAAGAACTAGTGATATTAAAGACAGGAATCAAGAAATGGTGCGGAGGGAAGAGAAAGACCTGAGAATAAAGAAAAATAAAAGAGCTCTATGAGACCTATCTGATTCCATCAGAAAAAGCAGTATTAGAATTACAGGCATTGCAGAGGAGGAAGAGAGGAAGCATGGAATGAAGAGTCTATTAAAACAAATAGTGGATGCGAACTTTCCAAATCTATGCTAAGAACTAGATCCTCGCCCTGGCCGGCTTGGCTCAGTGGATAGAGTGTCAGCCTGTGGACTGAAGGGTCCTGGGTTTGATTCTGGCCAAGGGCACATGCCTGGGTTGCAGGCTCGATCCCCAGTGGGGGTTGTGCAGGAGGCAGCCGATCAATGATTCTCATCATTGATGTTTCTATCTCTCCTTCTCCCTTCCTCTCTGAAATCAATAAAGAAATATATTTTTTAAAAAAAGAAAAAGAACTAGATCCTCGATTCCAACAAGCAAACAGAACACCCGGTTACCTCAATCTAAAGAGGCCTTCTTCAAGGACCTGTCACAAATTAATGACAAAGAAAAAAGTTCTCAAAGCAGCCAGGAAAAGAAGGAAGTAACCTACAAAGGAAAACCCATCAGAATCATCCGAACTCTCAGCAGAAACCCTACAAGCCAGAAGAGAGTGGAAGCAAATAGTCAAACTCCTGAAAGAGAGAAATTACCAGCCACAAATAATATATCCAGCAAAATTATCCTTTAAATATTAAGGAGAAATAAAGATGTTCCCAGACATACAGAAGCTGAGGGATTTCATCACCAGAAAACCTCCATTGCAGGAAATACTCAATAGTTATTCTACCTGAAACAAAGAACATAAGGCCTTAACACTATGAGTAAGTTCAACAATAAACTTACAGCATAAATAGGGATAATTTGTGACAACAAAAACATCAAAGGGGAGGGGGAAAGGTCTGAACTAGAAAAGGATAATGAAGATCAGATGCACTCAAAAGGGAAAAAACTGCCCAGCTGGCGTGGCTCAGTGTTTGAGTGTGGACCTATGAACCAGGAGGGGTCAGTTCTATTCCTGGTCAGGGCACCTTCCTGGGTGTGGGCTCGATCCCCAGTATGGGGTATGCAGGAGGCAGCCAATCAATGATTCTCATTATTGATGTTTCTACCTTTCTCTTCCTCTCCCTTCCTTTCTGAAATCAATAAAAATATTTTTTTTAAAGAAAACATAACACTTCTTAATATATACCCACCCAACCAGGGAGCACCGAAATATATAAAACTACTCACAGAACTAAAGGGAGAAATAGACCAAAACACAATCATAGTTGGAGACTTTACACTCCATTGACAGCTCTAGACAGATCAACCAAACAAAAAATCAATAAAGAAATATTGGCCTTAAATGAAACACTAGACCAAATGGACATAATTAACATTTACAGAACCTTTCATCACAGAGCATCAGATTATACATTCTCCAGAGCACAGCATTCTCAAAGATTAACCATATATTGGGTCACAAAACTAGCATCAACAAATTCAAGAAGACTGAAAGTTTACCAAGCATGTTCTCTGACCACAATGCCTTGAAATTAGAAATCAAATGCAAAAATGAAGTAAAGAAACCCACAAATACATGCAGATTAAACAACATACTACTAAAAAATGACTGGGTTAAAGAAATAAAAGTTAAGGTCAAAAGATATAGAGAATCTAGTTGGTTTGGCTCAGTGGATAGAGTGTTGGCCTACAGACCGGAGAGTCCGGGATTCGATTCCGGTAAAGGAAGGGCATGTACCTCGGTTGCAGGCTCCTCCCCAGACCAAGCCCTGGTCAGGGGCTCATGCAAGAGGCAACCAATTGATGTGTTTCTCTCACATTGATATTTCTGTCTTTCCATCTCTTTCACTCTTCCACTCTCTCTAAAAATCAATGGAAAAATATCCCTGTTGAAGATTAAAACAAAAACAAAACAACAACAAAAAACTCCCAAAAAACAAAAGTCCAGGACCAGATGGCTTCACCAGTGAATTCTACCAGACATTCAAAGAAGATATTTTAAAACCATCCTTCTCAAAACCTGGGAAAGATAACACAAAAAAAGAAAACTACAGACCAATATCTCTGATGAATACAGATGCAAAAATCCTAAACAAAATACTAGCAATTTGAACACAATAGTACATCCAAAAAATAATACATCATGATCAAGTGGGGTTCATTCAGGGGCACAAGAATGGTTCAATGTACGCAATCAACATAATACACCACATCAACAAAAGAAGGATCAAAACCATGTGATTTTACCAATAGATGCAGAAAAAGCATTTAAGATACAACATCCGCGCCGAAACCGGTTTGGCTCAGTGGATAGAGCGTCGGCCTGCGGACTGAAAGGTCCCAGGTTCGATTCCGGTCAAGGGCATGTATCTTGGTTGCGGGCACATCCCCAGCAGGAGATGTGCAGAAGGCGGCTGATCGATGTTTCTCTCTCATCGATGTTTCTAACTCTCTATCTCTCTCCCTTCCTCTCTGTAAAAAATCAATAAAATATATTAAAAAAAAAAAGATACAACATCCATTTATGATTAAAACACTCAATAATAATAGGAATAGAAGGGAAGTAGCTCAACAAAATAAAGGCCATATATGCCTATATGCCTAGCCGGCAAGGCTCAACGTTTGAGCATCAACCTATGAACCAGGAGGTCATGGTTCGATTCCTGGTCAGGGCACTTGCCCAGGTTGTGGGTACAATCCCCGGTTTGGGGCTTGCAGGAGGCAACTGATCCATTATTCTCTCTCATCATTGATGTTTCTATCTCTCCACCCCCCCCCCCGTAACCTTCCTCTCTGAAGTCAATAAAAACATTAAAAATAATAATAAAGGCCAAATATGATAAACCCTCAGCTAATATCATACTCAATGGTGGAAAACTGAATGCTTTTCCTCTAAGATCAGGAACGAGACAAGAATGTCCACTCTCACCACTCTTACTCAACATAGTGCTGGAAGTCCCAGTCCGAGCAATAAGGCAAGAGAAAGAAATAAAGGCATCTAAGTAGGAAAAGAAGTCAAACTGTCACTTTTTGCAGATGACATAATTCTGTATATAAAAAACCCAAAAGACTCCACTAAAAAAACTATTAGGAACAAATATAGTCAAGTTGCACAATACAAAATCAATGT